GGTTGTTGTGTGCTATTGAATTGGAACCAATGCATAGTTATCCCAAAAGAGGGTTTTGAGAGGTGGTAAATCACATAGGAAGAGAATGCCCATCCTTCTCCCATGGAGCAGCTGGTAGAGTGAGAAAACGAGTTGGCATTAAGACTACATGGAACATCTCACCCCACGTTTGTCAAAGTACAAGAGTGCTCTTAGGGCTTTCCAGGATGGATTTTTCAGAAATGAATCATGAGAACTTTTCTCCAAAGTGCCTCTCAGTGGCCTCAAACTTCTAACCTTTCAGTTAGCAGTCAAGTATGACAACTATATGCACAAAACAGGGACACTTAGTCATTATAGACTTGTACAATTATTACAGTAATTTTCCACAGATGGCAGAATGTGTTGAGAAAGTCATGCCTTTTTCTGATTCCTGACAAAGCCGCCATATTGGCTTTTGGCAGGGCTAGCATCCTCAGGGCTTACAGTAGATATTTGGCACATAGCATCCACTCAACAAAAAGCCCTGATGGTACAGTGATTAAGCCCTCAGCTGCTAACTGAAAAGCTGGTAGTTCAAATCCACCAGCAATTCTGCAGGACAAAACACCTAGAGAACTCCTCCCATAAACATTACAATCTCAGAAACCCTTTATTTGCCTTATCTCTTATCTTATGCACTTTGTGTGTGTGTGTGTGTGTGTGTGTGTAATCATTTGTCAATTTGTTGCAATCATCATGCTACTTAATTAATAAACATTTTAGCAAATATTGCCTAAAAGAGGAGATGTCACATTTATAACCACAGTACTATTATCACACTGAACAACAATTAGTCAAATTAGTCATTGTTTCCTAATGTTACCCCCAGCATCTAGTTTCAGGAGGTATGTGGGCACCCTAGGGAGCTCCGGTCTAGGGTAAGGAGTTGTGCGGCCAACCCAAAGGCATGTGGTTTGAATCAACCAGCTGCTCTGAAGGAGAAAGAGGGGCAGTCAACTCCCATGTAATTAACTGCTTCTGAAAACTCACTGGAGGGTCAGCTATGGGTCAGTCCCAACTCAGCTGTATACAACAACAACATGTGGGAGCCCTACTCCCACCTCGCCCCTTGGTCTACATCTTGGGCACCTGAAAGCAATTTCCGTGTAACTGACAACTTTCTGAATATTTTTGCCTGGGTATTTTTGGCTCTGTCCTCACACAGTATGCCATAAGTGTTGGGGAGTCAATACCTCAGGAGTGACTGTCAACCAGCAAAGGACAGAAGTGGGTAGATAAATCCGCACTCTTCCAGTTCCCTCAGTGAGTCATTTTGGAAAAGTGGTCCACAGAGCTGCTCCCGGAGCCCATTGTGGTAACTGCCCTCAACAATAACTTGGGAATGAGCAGATTCTTGACTAGTTTCCTCTCTTCCCGGTCTCATATCATTACTGTGCTTCCTGAGATCATCTCTTCAATAGGAAGCTGACACCCAAAGCTTTGTCTTAGATCTTTCTGGGATAGAACCTGAATCAAAACACTAGTTCAATTGCTAATCTAATCAAAATTATGATATTAATAAAACACACCACTTCAGGTTCCACAGAGAAGCCCCAAAGGCACAATCTGCTTAGGTGGCGCTTGCAACTCTGCCAACAGGACCTATGTGTCTTTCTAGACGAAGGCTATAGTAAGATTGTGCTTATCAGGTCTTGAACAGCATCTAAGGTATACTAGTCAAGCTGCTAAACACAAGGTTGGAGGTTCAAATCCACTTGTGAAAAAAAGATATGGCAGCATGATTTTGTAAAGATTTATGGTCTTGGAAATCTAACAGGGCAGTTCCACTCTGTTCCACAGGATCTCTGAGGCGTAATCAACTTAATGACAGTGGGTTTTCATTTGCTTAGTGTCAACTAGTGGTAATAATATTGTAATTATGTTAAGTATAATAATAATAAGATTAAGAGTTCACTGTGTGGCAGCTTAGCATGATTTCTTTCATTTAATCTTCAGAATAGCCCTAGAGGGACAGAATTATTATTGTTCTCCTTTAAAGACCCTGAGATTCATAGAAGCTAAATAACTTTTTAATTTTTTTTACTTTATTTTATTATTTTGTGTGTGTATACCATCATCTGACTGGAAGAGGAGGAGATTGTCTCTCCTCCAGCAGAGCATCTGGTAGATTCAAACCACACAACTCTGGGATTCAGTGTAGCTTCATGCCACTAGGCCACCAGAGCTCACCCTAAATAACTTTTTAAGATCACATAGCAAGGAAGAGGCAGATCTATGCTGAGCTTACTCAGCAAGCTAAAATGCAAGGGCAATCATAAATAGTTATGGTCTCTTCTGGTAGATGAAAACAATCCTTATTTGCCACATAAATGTTAAAATTCACATTTTTAGAACATGTGTGTGGATTATTTATCCATTAAAATATATGTTATTGTTGTTGTTATGTGCCGTCGAGTTGCTTGCGACTCATAGTGACCCTATGTACAAGAGCCCTAAACACCGTTCTATCCTGTGCCAACCTCGCTGTCTCAAACACATTCATTCCCACCACTCCACTCACAGAATCGATCCATCTCATCGAGAGTCTTCCTCTCCTGTGCCGTCCCTCCACTCTCCCAAACATGATGTCCCTCTCCAAGGACCCCTCCTTGCAACATGCCCAAAGTATGTCAGACAAAACTGCAGAATCCTTGACTCCAGGGAACATTCTGGCTTCACCCTCTCCAGGACAAACCTTTTTGTTCTCCTAGCAGTCCATGGTATATTCAACACTCTTCTCCAGCACCACAACTCAAAAGCATCAATTCTCTTTCTATCAACCCTATTCACTGTCCAACTCTATATATTGTCACCAAAAAAACTACCCCAAGCCCAATTTATCATCAATTGCTAATTCTTAGAAGTATAAAATAGGAATTCCTCAAGCAGGAGAGAGCCTCAGAAAGGATAAAGCTTCACCTACCTTTCTTTACAGTTTACATGCTGGGCTTGGGTTACCAATGATAAGCCATACTTTCCCGCCTTTGTTCAAGTTGTGTGGACTCTTGCAATGTTTTGACTGCTGTGAAAGTCAAGCCTCCTCTCAGATTTGCCCCATCACGATTCCCAGTCTATCAAATTATCAAAGCTAGATATCTAACTAGGGACAACCTTCCGTGAGATGTGCTATACATTTTTGCACAAGGTCAGGCTTTCTTGGGACAATGACATCCCTGTTAATAATATCTGACCCCACCTAGTGACCTTGGCACACGTAAAAACTTAGACCTTAGGAAGATGGCTCTCCCAATTCCTGTCTTCCCTAGGAGTCCATACAGGGAAACGGACTTTGGACCCAATCAATCTTATTCACTTGTCCCTGCTGTCATAAAGTTTTTAAACCCAAGGAGTATAAAAGAGAGTAAGAAAGCATTCAGGGTTCTCATATACAAGAGAAGTTGATCAAGAAAGTCAGCTTTTTTTAGCGCTCAGCAGGTAAGTCAAAGGCTATCTTCTACAGAAAGAATAGAAGAAAAAAGGAAAAGAAAAGATATATCAAGTGAGGAAAATTTATTTTGAAAAATTGTTGTCTTGGTGGGTGCAAGGAAGGGGAAGCTAATGACTCTCTCCTTTAAGAGGGTAGAGTGAGGTCTGCCAAGCCCACACTCTCAGTTTTTATTGAGTACCTATAGTGTATATGGCCCAAGATAAGAAAGTTCTGAAATCTTCACTACTGCCACACTGATAGAAATACTTTGTGGCAAAAAAATGTAAAACTACAAAAGAATCAATATCAGAACTAATTGCAATTCACTGGAAGACAGACGCAGGCTCTCTAGCCAGAAAGGGTAAGTTTGGCAGGAGTGAAACTTGGTCATGTCAGAACAAGCCTGGGACCAAGAAGTTGAACAAAGCCAGAGAAGTCGTAGGCATGTTGGAGCACTTGATAGTTAGTATTTGTGTTAAAGGGACAAAAGTTATGTTATTAAGCTCTGTTATGTGGTCAGGGTTGGAAGTGATGGATAGTGGCTTCTTGAAAGAAGTGGATATTAAGGTAGTCAGACTATGGCCTTGAGAGTTTGAGTTTGAATCTTTACCTGTACTGTCTTTAGTATCTCCAGCAAATTACACAATCACTCTAAACCTTTGGAAGCTGTCTAGAGTTGTGCGGCATAATTGAGGTGGACTTAACGCTTGTTAAGTGTTACCATGATGCCTGGCACTGGAAGCATTGCGTATGTGTTTCTATTATACTCAAAGCAGTAATCATGAAAGGAAGTGATGGATGGATGTTTTTTTCCCCCACATGGAAGTGGAGAATATTTTTAGAGAGGAATGGCAGGAGCAAAAGCAACAAAGAGAGAAAGGTGGTCTTTATTATTGATTATGCTTAATCCATCCTGTGTCAAAGAGATCTGAAGAGAAGAAAGAGAAGGAAAGGGGAGAACAAGGAGATTAAGTTGGTTTAATGGCTGGAAACGGAGCTGAGATTGAATCATTTCTAAGGTACACTGTGTTTGAATCTTTCAGAAACTCTCAAATTTGGAATAATTTCAAAAATTCTCAGAGTTCATTATTGCCAGAGAGCAACTTCACAAAAATGACCTTGAGGATGTTCAAACCAAGAATGACTGAATTTGGGAGACTGTATGAGAGTGAAACTGATCTCATTTCTATTAAAATTCTCCATTATTAAAATGCTCTATTAAAATGCTTTCAATTTCTCCAGGGAAGACTGGCTTTATCATGCCCAGGGTCACCCTCTATCCTACAGTCAATTTCTCTTAGTTTTCCTTTTCCTTTAAAGAAATTCTTTAATATTAAAGGTACTTTGAACTTAGTAGTCAGAACAAGGTTGTTTAATTAAAAACTAAAAGTAATTCCATTATAGCTTGGTTAACTCACCTGGGACATTATTTAGAATGTGTGATAAACAGCAGGCAGGTTCATAAACTTAGGATGGACCAAAGTGCAGAAACAACTGTTCTCTTCCCCATTCCACCACCCTCCTGTGCAGATCCAATTGGGATTCTTTAAAGATGACATGGACGAGGAGCAGCCTGAGAGAAACCTGCCGATTTCTTATACTAATGACTTTATTTTTGCCATGTGAGACGACAAGTAAGTAGATGATTTTTTTTTCCTAGGGGGGCACTTTATGCAAGAAAAAAAACAGATTGAAAACTAAACAGAGGGGATTGGCTTGAATACACACATGATTAGTATAGCTCAGAGTACAAAAATCAGATATCTTTTAAAAATGGAATGACAAAATCTTGGGACTTATTCTGACACCACAAGACAGTGAAGTAATCTCTTCTCTGCAGAAGGAAAGCCAGAATTTTTCTAAATTTTCATTCATATTATTACCTGCTTACCCCAAATTCTCTTCTGCTGTCTGAACACATCACTTGCATGAAAATGTTCCCGCCACCCTTAGAATGGGAGTAGGCCCTTCTCATTGGAAAGAATAAATTTGTGGTGGTAGTGGTGTTAGGTGCTGGTGAGTCAAGAACAAAACATAGCAACCCTATAAACAGGAGACCTGAATCCTACCCTATCCTGTACTATTCTCATCATCTTTGACACATTTGAGCTCATCACTGCAGTCACTGTGTCAGTCCCCCTCACTGATGGTCCTCCTCTTCTCTAACCCTCCATCTCTCCAAGCATGATGCCCCTTTCCAAGGAATAGCCTTGCCTAGCAATATATGTGAGAGGCAAAAGTTTTGTCTCCAACGAGCACCCTGGCTACATCCTCTCCAAAACATACGTTTGTTCTTTTAGCAGTCCATAGAATATTCACTGCTCTTCTCTAGTACCACAACTCAAAAGCAAATTGTTGTTGTTGATTGCTGTCAAGTCAAGCACGACTCATAGCGATCCTATGAGCAAAAGACCTGAAGCCATTCTATAACTATTGTTGTTTCTCCAAGTTCATAGAGTTTTCCAGAGGCATGTTGTTTAGGAAGTGGACGCCACTCCTGCTTCCAAAATAGGCAAACTAGGTGATATATAAAATAAGAAAGAAAGTAAAATTTTCTTCCAAACCCCATCATGTGTATCAAGTTGAAAATTGACTCAGAAGCACCAAAAGCAAGTGCAATCTCTTTGTTAATGCCAATCACGTGTGCTTTTTAAAAGAAAATTTTGTGTTACAGAGTATATGATCGCATGTTATCTGGTGTCTGTATAGAGAGGGTAGGTGCAGGATGGCAGTTAGAGTTATTTTAGCTTTGTTACTTGCAGCAGAGCTGCTGGAAAGTGAAAACTGAAATTCACATATATTACTAGGCAGTAAACAGACTTCTGAAAAATCAGAGCTGAAAATAAACTGCTCTTATCCTGACCACCCACAGCAACTTGTCCATCCCACAAACCACAGCCATTTAAATACTTTTTTTTTACCTTATTACACAGTAAAACCCAATATTAACACACCAGAAAGTCAAGATCTAATTTGTCCACAATCCCATCATCTAATAAAAAAGTGTTTCCAAACTGGCTTTTGTCCATGTGCCAATTCAATTTATAGATGTCTGTAATGAAACAGAGGTAACTCATGGTTGCTCTGATGCTAAACACTGTGACACTGATGTGTCAAATGTGAGGATGGTTACCTATCGTGGACAGTGTTTGGTGGAGCTCCCAGATTAAAACAAGCTTGGAAGCAGGAGTTGCATCCACTTCCTAAATAGCTTGCCTCTGGAAACTCTATGAATTTGGAAAAAGGATGAAAGTTACACAAGTGTTCAAGTCTTTCATTCACAGGGTCACTATGAGTTGTCTACAACTCAACGGCACTTACAAAAACAACAATGAGATAGTAGATTTCATTACAAATGCTAAACTAAAAGTCACTGGTTTGAATCTACTAGCTGCTTCTCAGGCAAAATATGCACAGTCTTACTCCTAGAAAATTTATAGCCTCATAAATCGTAAAGGGTCGATATGAGTTGGAACCGAATTGGTAACAGTGGTTTTACCAACCTAAATGTTGGCAGTTTAAGTACATCCGATGGTAATTTAGAGGAAAATCTGCTTCTGTGAAAATTGCAGCCAAGAAAATCCTATAGTGTTCTGTTTTAGAGCACATGAAAGTCTCCAAAAATTGGAATTGACTCAATGGCAATAATTTTCATTTTTCTCTCTCTATCTTTTCTTAACTCCCCATGCATATTGCTTTCAAGTTAATTCCAACACAACAATTCTCCAAGATCGAGCAGAACTGCCCCATGGGACTTTTTTATTTTTTGTCTTTTAAGAGTCACAGGAAATGCACACCCATGTTTATTGCAGATTTTTCACATTAGCAAAAAGTTGGAAACAACCCAAGTGCCTATCAACAAACAGATGGATAGAGAAGCTCTGATATATTCACACAATGGAATACTATGCTGCATTGAAAAACAAGGAACTCATGAAATATTATACAAAATGGGTGGCCCTGAAAAACATTATGCTGAGTGAAATATCTCAGTCACAAAGGGACAAATACTGCATAATGCCACTGTTGTAAAACGGGACTGACCTCGAGGTTGGGGGAATCTTAGAAAAGAGGGGATAAATAATGTATACTGCATTGAAAGAGATGAGGGAGAGAACTGTTTGAAAGGAATATATGATTAGATATTATTTTCATGACAAGAGTCCAGGATGAGAGCTGCATGGTGGAGTGGATGGGGGTCGTATAATAATGAAAGTTTGTGGGGTTTGTTTTTTTTTTTTACTTTTCAAAGAGAAAAACCAACTGGGGGAGGGGTGGGCAGGGAGGAAAATGTGCAACAATGAATGAATGGAAATCCAAAGTCTCTATAAACTTTCATTAAAATTTCAATTAAAAAAGCCTAAAAAAAGAGTCATAGGTGATTCTACTGTGCATTAAAACTAGGTAACCATTATTTGATCTTTTTTATTTTTTGGCTAATAATGCAATCTATAAAATTATATAGACTAGTGATTATTTTTTCTTAATTTTAATGAAAATTTGCAGAGACTTAGGGTTTCCATTCATTCATTGTTGCACTTTTCTCCCTGCCCATCCCCTACCCCCCAATTTACTCTTTGAAAAGTGAAAGAAAAAAATTCTCTCATCCCTCCCCCCAAGTCCACTACCCTGTACAGCCTTCATTCTGGACTCCTGTCATGACAATAATATTTAATCATATGTCCCTTTTAAACAGTTCTCTCCTTCATCTGTTTTAATGCAGTATACATTATTTATCCCCTCTTTTCTTAGGTTCCCCCCAGCCACAATGTCAGTCCCGTTTACAACAGTGACACTGTGCAATATTTGTCCTTTTGTGACTGAGATAGTTCACTCAGTATAATGTCCTCCAGGGTCACCCATTTTGTATAATATTTCATGAGTTCCTTGTCTTTCAATGCAGCATAGTATTCCATTGTGAGGATATACCAGAGTTTCTCTATCCATTCGTTTGTTGATGGACACTTGGGTTGTTTCCAACTCTTTGCTGTTGTGAACAAATCCACAATAAACATGGGTGTACATATATCTGCTTGGGTAGCAGTTATAGTTTTTTTAGGGTATATTCCCAGTAGTAGAATTGCTGGGTCAAATGGTATTTCTATTTGCAACTTTTTGAGAAAGCATCATACTGCCTTCCATAGTGGTTGCACCGTTTTACATTCCCACCAACAGTGAATAAGGGTTCTAGTTTCTCCGCAACCTCTCCAGCATTTGATGTTTGCTGTTCTGTTAAATTTTGCAATTCTTACTGAGGTGAGATGATATCTCATAGTTGTTTTGAAACTGATGATTATTTTTAAGTATTGAAAAATATTTACTGATTTGTACCGATTTGTTAATGAATTGTACCTATTTGTTAAGGCAATCTACTGTTGATGACAATTTAGGTTATTTATGTCTTAACTGTTTCTCTGAATTCCTAGGTTCTGTTTTATCTGTAAATGGCAAAACAGAGAACTACATCCTCCACACTGAGCTTGACTCCCACGAGTCCCTGGAATGTGCTGTACAGAATCACACCAGCGATGAGGAGCTTCTCTGGTACAGAGGGAACGGAAGAGTGGACTTGAAATCTGAAAACAAAATTAACTCCAGCTCCGTCTGTGTCTCTCCCATCAGAGAAAATGACAACGGAGTCACCTTTACCTGCAGGCTTCAGCGTGACCAGTCCATATCCATCTCAGTGGTGTTGAATGTCACTTGTGAGTGAGGGGGGACGGAGGGAAATTTCTAGTCAGTATGTGCTGTCTGCATGATGTTACATGAGAGCTGAAATTTCGGTTCAAGGAGAAAGTGCATTTTTTTTCTTCTCTTCTTTTTCTTTTTTCCCCTAACCCTAAGAATGTGCATTTTTAACACTTGCTTGATGTTGCCAGATTGCCTGACTGACACTCCTACCACAAAATTTGGGAGAGTCCACGTCCTCACAAGTACAAAGTACTTTCAAACTCTAAGAGTTTGCAAGCCTGATTTCAAATTTTCATTTTTTGAAGTTTAGAATGAACGTGATCCCTTTTTCCTAAAGTTACTGGCTCTTCGTGTTTCTCTTTTATGAAGTGCCTGCTCATGTCCTTTATTAATTTTTCTACTGCATTGTTTGCTCAATACTTACTGATTTGCAAAGGGGCTCTGTGGATTACAGAAATGAACCTTTGTCATTTGTTAGTGTTATAAGTGTTTCCCATTTTATACTGTTGATTATTTTTGCGTGCTGAAGTTTTAAATGTTTACATATTTAAAATCACCAATCTTTTCCTTCGTGGCTTCTAGTTGGTGTGTTCTAATTTCTAACACCTGCTTCACTGGGGCGTCTTGGGGGATTTCTGTTTGAATTTGGTTTTAAAACATTTTTATCTACTTTGTAGAGTGATGTGAGTGAAAGTTCACAAAGAAAACTGGTTTCCCCTTCAACCACATTTTGTTCTCTAACCTTAATTACATTATCCACAATGGAATGAAACTCATTCCCTTTCCCTCCCTGCAATTTTTTTCTTTCCATTAATCGTTCTGTTTTAGCCCTTCCTGTTTTGTGGGTTTTATTCTTAGGCAAGAACTGCTCTTTTGAATGTACATGGTTGGTTATTCTAAGGAGTGAGTGCCTATCTGGTGTCCCCTTTCTAAGCCTGTTTATTGTCTGGTTGATAGTTGAGCCATGGAAGTGAGTTTCATGCTAGGTTTGAAGAGTAACTAAAGGAATTCCACTAGTTTCTTTAAGTTAAAGCTAATCTTTTTTAGATTTTTAAATTTCATTCCACATTTTCTCCTACTCTATCAGGATCCTCTACCATGACGCCTCTTAGAGCTGTCAGCAGCGATAGTTGGGCACTATCTAGTTCTTTGGTTCACAGGGCTGTGGAAGTTGAGATTCATGTGGTCCATTGGTTCTTTGGACTAATGACTTCTAGACATCTTTGTTTTTCTACTCTCTTCTTTGTTCTGAATAGGAGAGAGTAGTAGTTGCATCTCAGGTGGCCCTTTGTTTAAGACCCCGGTCATTACTCACCAAAGTAGGATGTAGAACATTGTCTTTTTGGACATTGGTGTGCCTCAACACTATGGTCCTGAGACCCCTGGGCCAGCAACTCATTGCATTAAGGATCTTTCAACATTGTGTTAAAATCAGAAAAAAAATGCAAGTTTCCCATTCGTTGTGTGATTTGTTCTGATAACATACTAGTGAAATTATGTGGGTTAGAGGTGGTACAAATAACTACAAGTATAATATCAGCTCAGAGCCAATCCCTATGAGGTAGAGATCAAACACACTCAGGATTTCCACCGTCTCCACCAGCTATACCACACCATCTCTGACACCAGCCACTCTTCCTCCACTCAGTACTCTTTCCCTCTAAGGTCAGGATCAGGCTGTGAAGGGAAAGTCTCCCTTCAGTTCGGTTGACTCCCTCAGCAACTCCTGCTTGTGCGGGCCTTGTCTCAGGTCCCCTGAGGACAGGTTCGCCATGGCCCTGTCATCTGTCAGCACTGGCCTCTTCCAAGCTGTTCACTGCCTTTAGTGTTATAGTCCTTGACTCATATTGTTGTTGTTAGGTGTCATCAAGCTGACTATGACTCATAGGAACCCATTTGTACAATTGATTGAAACTTTGACCAAGCCTATGTCATTCATACAAATCCCCACTGGGCTTAGACCCATTATTACAGTTACTGTGCAAATTCATCTCATGGACAACGTTCCTGCCTTCTCTGGCTCTTTACCTTTCCAGTTATGCAAGCATATGAAGCTATTGAAAATACTGTGGATAGGGTCAAACATACTTTGACATCCTTGCTCTTTAACACTTAAAGAGGTCTTTGGCAGCAGATTTGCCCACTGTATTTGCCAGGAGATACACACACACACACACACACACACACACACACACACACACATATATAATCTCCTGCTGAGTGTGGTTTCCATGGGTTTTGATTGTAGATCAAAGTAAAGTTAAATAATTGACCACTTCAATCTTTTGCCTACTTATATTGATGCTGTCTATTGCTCCAGTTGTGAAGATTTTTGTTGGGGTTTTTTTTTATGTTGAAATGTAATCCATACTGAAAATGATTGAATGATCAAAGACCAGATGTGTTATGGGATGACAACAGGGATATCATCCATGAAGACAGTAAAGACAGAGGAGAAAGAAAAACCCAAAATGAATGTCAAAAGAGACTCTGAAAATTGCACTAGAGCATCAAAAACTCAAAACAAAGGGAAAATATCACATTATCTCCAGCCTCATTTCTATCACCAAGGTCATATTTCCCAACGACCAATCCTTAACATTTGTTTCCAATATTTGCATTCCTCTTAGTAACTATTATTAATGCATCTTGATTGCATGTTTGATCAATTTCAGATTGCAGAAGTTCATAGAAAGCCTCAACTTCTTCATCTTTGCCATTAGTGGCTGGTGCGAGTATTTGAATAATAGTAGTATTACTAGACTTTTCTTGTATATCTATGGATATTATCCTGTCACTGACAGCTTTGGGTTTTGGAACATATCTTGAAATGCTGTTTTTAAGAATGAATATGATATAATTACTTTTATTTTGTCGTTGCTGCCATTTATTTTCCAATTTAAAATAGCTAATGCCAGCCCATTTCTGCTCCCTAATGCCTGGCCTACTGAAAGAAACTGCGCTGCAATCCCAAAGTCCAGTAGCTGCTCTGAAGGAGAAGGCTGGGCAATCTCCTACTGTATGATTAAACTGCCAGAGGATCAGTCAGCTATATGTCAGTTTTAACTTGATGGTACACAACAACAACAAGAACAATGCCTAGAACGTCAATTTTTGTATGTTCCATTTGCTAAAACTTCGTGTTTTCCTAAGATTTATCCTTTAAACATTCCATAGTCCAATTACTAGTGGATGTTTGCAGCTGTTTCTTCTTGAATTGAGTGGCGCCACATCAGCAAATGGAGGTCTTTCATTTTCTAGAACTTTACTCCATCACATCACTAAGGCAGACTCTTCTTTGTGGAGGTAGCTCTTCCCTGGGGGTAGTCTGACTGCCTTCCAACCTGAAGCACTCATATTATGGAGCTCTGTTAGACAATGTTGTTGTTGTGTGCTATTCGGTTGGAATCAACCCAAAACTGACCCTCCAGTGGTTTTTCAAAGGCAGTTAAGGGCACAGGAGGAGATTGCCAATATTCTATTGTTATTCAAAGCATTATTTTAGAAGTGGATGGCAAATCCTGCTTCTTAGTCTGTCCTCATTTAAAAGCTCTGCTAAAACCTGTCCACCATTGATGACTCCGCTGGTATTTTGAATATCTGGGCATAGCTTTCAGCATTATAGCAATATGTAAGCCACTATAGTGTAGCAAATTGACAGGCCAGTAGTGAGTCATAGTCCAACTCTTTCAGGAGATTCCTGGCTGCTGCTTCTTTTCTCTTTCTACTTCTTGTTTTCTTCCTTCTTTTTCTGCTCCTCTTTCTTTCTGTCTGAAAAAAATTAAAAACCCCTCTGTGAACCTCTTTCTCTCTCTGTTGTTGTTGTGTACCATCAAGTTGGAATCAACCCATTGCTGATCCTCTGGTATGTTTTCAGGGACAATTGCATAGGAGGAGATTGCCCTTCCATCTCCCATGGAGCAGCTGGTGGATTTGAACCACGTGCCTTCGGGATTGTGACACAGCTTCTTGCCACTAGACCACCAATGCTACATAGTACATATATTTAAATGTACACATACATAGATACACACAACTCTATGTCAATTTCAAGGCATAGCCTTCAAATCCAGGGACTACTAACTAACCAGTCCCTCTCAGGAGACCACAAACACCTAATCTGAATAGCAGGGCTATAGTAATTTCATTTATAAACCATAGTCATTTCATTTGCGCAAGTGTATTGACCAATCCCTACAAAGCAATTACAGGGACAGACTGTAGCCCATAGCCAGACGAAAAGCCAACACATTTACAGTTTATCCTGCAAATGCTAATCAACCAAGACAAAAACAAACCCTTTGGCATAGAAGCTAGGGCAAAGATCATTCCTCAGCATGTAGAAGGAAAATCTCTCAAAAATTTTTCCCCACCAAAGAATCAAGGCAAACAACCACATTAAAGAACCTGTTTTGCCCCCCAAAACAAAACCAAACTCATTGCTGTCAAATCAGTGCTAAGTCAAAGCAAACCTTAAGACAGAGCAGAACTGCCCAGTGGGGTTTCCAAGCCTGTAAGTCCTTCAGGAAGCAAACTGCAGCATCTTCATCTCTTGGGGAAGCTGGTGGGCTTGAACTGCTGACTTTCCATTTGTTGTCATTGTTATTGTTGTGTGCTGTTGACTCATAGTCACCTGTGACTCATAACGACCCTATGTATAACAGCTCTGAAGCCTGTCCTGTCATAGCAAGTCTCACTGACACCAACACACCTATCCCCATTGCCCTAGTTACTGTATCAATCCATCTCATCTGGGGTCTCCTTCTCCTGCCCTGTCCCTCCACACTTCTGAGAATGGTGTTCTTCTCCAAGGATCAGCCCCTCCTGGCCGTGCACCCAAAGTATGTGAGATAGAGTTTCAAAATCCTAGCCCCCAAGGAGAAACTTGGTTTTACCCTCTCCAAGACAGATCTATTTGTTTTCTTGGTAGTCTATGACATGTTCAAGATTCTTCTCCAGCACTACAACTCAAAAGCATCAATTCTTCTGTCATCCTTAGTCATTGCCCAGCTTT